GGAAAAGTTAATCAGGATCAACAAAAAAGGGATGGACTAGATTTCAACAATCTCAACATAAGTCACTACAACCAACAAGGTAACTCAATTCGTAATAATATGTCTCAAACTGATTATACTAACACTGAAGCTCATATACACACAAGTGTAAATGAGCAAATCAATAGTGATAGTAACTTACTGAAACATGTAATAATCAGGAACATAAAGGAAAGGTTTATCAAAATAAACTGAACAATGACACTAACCAAGGTAGATTACTTGATGTACCTCAACAAAGCAATGAAAGAGCCAAAATGGATTATCATCACAACTTTACTAGAATCTCCAATAATTATGTCAGGTATGACCCTAAAATAAAAATAACATTGATGTCACACCCCTTTTTCGCGTAGAGGCGTAAGGATTTTTTCAATTTAAGTGACATTATTAATTAGGGGATTATTTTAATTTTTTCAGAGTCGCCACTTGGAATTGAGTTACGGTGTTTCAAGTCACCTTTTTTGTTTGATCCCTAATTAAAAGGAAATGACTCTTTGTTTGGTCTGCGAACCAGTTCGGGTAAGGAATTCTGTTGACCGAGGGGAAGGTATTAGGCGTCCCTCGAGTCCCATGGTTCTAACACGGTCTCTTTATGGACTTTTATGACTTAACTAATTTTTTGAATATTATATTGTTAAAACAAATGTATTTACCCCCAATCTTTGATTTATCCGATATATTTAAAACCATCCAATTTTATAAGCATGTGAAGTTTTTACACATTTTTATTAATTATTTATTTATTTTTCATGCTTTCAACATTTGCTTACTTCTTAATTTCTCTCTTTTATTTTATTTTTTTATTTGTTTTTTAATTGTATTTTTGTTTCTCTCTTCTTATTTCTTTTTGTACTAATTTTCCACGTTTTTTTTATTTAACTTTCCTTATTTTATATTTTTGGTTTTTACATTGTTTTTTCTTCTTTTTCTTTTCTTACCTTTTTTTTAAAAAAATAGTTGTGTTTTTTTTTGAATTGATCATACTAAAATATTTTTTTTAACACTATACTTTTTGTTTCTTTTCATTTTTTGCAGTATTTTTGTTACATTTATTTTTTCCTGTACATTTTCTCCATTCTTTTAATTATAACTTTTTTTTCTATTATTCTTTTTCTGATTCAGATGTTCTTTCATCACTATTTCTTTTCTTCTTCTGTTATTAACGTATTCTACCTCTTTTCCTTATTCCATTTTTATTGTTATTATTTTTTTAAATCTTTTTTTTTCAATTTATTATCCTCTCCTTATCCTAACTAGTTTATTATTATTATTTTTAATAGAATCTAAAAATAGTAATGTAAGACAACACACATAATATAATATAAAATATAATTTAATACATTTATTAAATACAAACAAACAAAAAATTCATTCAAATTGGTAAGACATGAATATAAAAATTTGGATAACTATGCATATTATAATTAGAATCATAATAACTACACATATTATCATTAAAAACTAAACATGAAAAATAAGAATAGGCTTAGACAATAATTTTACTTAAGCATGAAATAAACTATGAGTTATTTAATATGAAATAAACTACGGTTATAACTATATAAAGAATCTAAGCATAAAGTTGATATGAAATATTTGAACAAACTTCATATAAAAACATAACGGTTTAACCACATGTGAAATTTGACAACTTCAATATATTGCAATTCATTCTCGCATTATCATGACATAAAACTAATACAAAGTAAAATTAGTATTACCTCTTGTAGAAATTATTTCACGAAAAGAAAGAATTTAGGAACCACGAACTTGAAACCTCGAACTCAACTATTTTTAGTTGTGTTTTTCTTTGTGCGTGGGTTCTTTGAAAAAAAAAGTTTTCTTTGTTGTTTCTTATTTTTCTTTTTCCTTTCCCTTTTTCCCTTTTTTTTTCTTTCTGTCTGATTTCCTCTTCTTCTTTTTTCTTTTGCTTGCAATTTTTTTTTCCTCTTCTCTTCTTTCTGTTTTCTCCCTGATTCTTTTTTTTTTTCGTTCGTGTGTTTTTTCTGTTTTTCTTCCCTTTTCCTTTTTAATGTGTTTTTGTATATAGTAGTACTAGTAAATGTGTGTACGTGTGGTGTGAGTGGGGAGTGGGGAATGGGGTCATGGGGTCGTGGGGTGTGTGAGAGTGGTTTATATATATATATATATATATATATAAATGATAATTTAATTGCTTTAAGTAAATAAATAAATAAAAGCTAAATGGGTAATTAAAACAAAAAAAACATAATTAAGAAATATTAGTTTATTTAAATAATCTATGTAATAGATATATTTATGTATATATCCTTTTTTTTAACAATCAAAATAAACTTATCTAATAAAAATTATATTTATGTTGTTTATTCTTATATCTTTTAAATAAACTTAATGAAAATAATAAAAAAGTCAAAATATATTTAATTTAGATTGATAAAATTATTTATGCTCTAAAATATTGGTGTTAAAATTTAAATTCGGTCAAAAATTACGTGTCTACAGTTTGCCCCTCTTTGACTAGAAATATAAAGTGTTTTCAGACCAAGAAGTAGACAAAGTGAGAAGTTTTGACCGAACTCTTATTTGAAAGACCAAAATTTGTGCGACCGAGTCCTTGTTTGGACATCCTACATATCTCGGGTGATAAGGGAATCATGCCACTTGTAGTTCGAGGAGATAAATTGATGAGTTGGAAGTTAAGTGAGGTTCCATCGAGGCTCCAGATCGCGGCTCTTATCCTTACATAAAAATTGAAAACTATTAGTCAAAAGAAAACAAATGTACAAACTTCTATCCACGCAGCTTTTCTTGAATCTTCACTTGAATTTTGACTTTAAGATATCACCTTGATTTTTGAGTGAATATCTTAACTTAGAATTGGAATGGAGGCTGAACTTGCCACTTAGACGGAACTTTTGACATTCTTCAAAATGACAACTTGAAAAATGCATGCTTTCTTGATCAAAAGTTGACTAGTAAAAGATGTGTGGAAGTCAGGCTGCTACATGCATTGAAGAAGCTAATTCTAACCATCATGAAATTGATTATTCTAAAAAATTTGAAACTTTGTTCTTGAATTTCAAATCCAGGTCTCGCTTGAGAAAACCTGAGAACCACCACAAACAACAAAAAAATAAAAAAAAATTTGCCTCAGTTTTCACTGGGAAAATTTTTGTGAATTATTAGCAAATATAAATATAAAACATAAACTTCGTCTAGGAAGTGTTTATTTCAGGAGAAAATAAAACTAAAAATCTAGACTAGGAAGTGTTAATCCTATGAGAAAGTAATCTAATCCCATTATTCAGGAGGGTCCTGCTAATCCCATTATCCAGGAGGGTCCTGCTAGTCCCATTATCCAGGAGAGTCCTGCTAGTCCCATTATCCAGGAGGGTCCTGCTATCCCATTATCCAGGAGGGTCCTGCTAGTCCCATTATCCAGGAGGGTTCTGCTAATCCTATTATCCAGGAGGGTCCTGTTAGTCCCATTATCCAGGAGGGTCCTGCTAATAATATTTTCAACAAACTAATAATACCAACGAAACATTGTGAATGCTATCTTCATTATTTGGAAGTTCCTTCAAGGAGAATAATAATAATAATAATAATAAATAAAATAAATATTCCAACATTCAAGTAATTGTTATTTTGATATATGTTAGCCAACTTTCATATAATATTCCACAAATCTTTATTGTAGGGTTTCCATTTCGCTCGCTGCGGACTAAGTTGAACATCTAGGTTCCTGGAATCCTCAATCTTGAAACAACTTGTGTCCCTGCTTCAACAAAGAAAATTTGTGAGTTTGAAAAGGTGGTGGTTGGTTTGTGGTTCCATCTTTCGACAAGGGCGACTCAAACACTTATGACGCTTTGGTTGTTTCCAACGGTCAATACTTCTTATTGGTTGATTGTACTTTCATCCAAATTTGCTTATTTTTGGGACCTAAATCCGATGTCTTTATCTCACAACACTCATTGTTTAGCCTTCATAGGATCAGGGAATTTTCGAGTTCAACACTTGAAGACAGATTAACTCAGTAGCCTGATGCTTTGCCTAGTACTGTTTAGAGACTTCGTAGCGAGTCTTGAAATTCCTTCCTAGTTTTTTAACAAAGACTAGACTCAAATACATACAAAAAAATGACAAAAAAAAGTATAAGAAAATTACAAACTATATGAGAATAAAAGAAAAGATTCGATGAAGACTCTTTTTTTAGTAAGAAGAAGAAAAAAAACTTATCTGAGTGTGGGAGCCGAGTCTACTGATCATGCTATGCAATTTGAATTGATTTCCATACCTGGCTATCCAATCTATATATCAACCATTATTGATTATTCAATCTTGATGTGGAATTTCGATACTTAATGAAGCCATAAATTATTTTGAACCCTTATACACTTTGTGATATTCATGAAGGTCTTTGCCGCTAAAACTCTATCATGTTAATTGCTCCAGCTCACCACGTCCGCCTTATGGTGCATGTCAAAATTTTCACCAATAAGACTCTCTTATATTCAACTCCTTTTCGCCTTACGGTGCCCACTTAGGGTTTTCACCAATAAGACTCTCATTTTTATTTCTTTTTACTCACATTTGTCTTATGGTGCCCATTCAGGATTTTTACCTACCCTTAACCAACTTACTCTCGACATATCAAGGGTTGATGCAAAGACTTTTTTTTTATTTTAGATGATGGGGTTGATTTTGAGCTTTGAGATGGGAGACCGAATGAATAAACAAACGACTTTTGCCCCAGTATACTACAATATGAATTTTTGGATTTGTATTTGGTTGAACCGAACCCAATATTAGGGCTGCCTACGTTTATTGCCGAAACAAGAATCAGGTCAAACGTAGTTCAGACAATTTGTTTTTTTTGAAAGGTCAAGGAAACAACATAACCAAGAGATCCCATTGAATCAACCCTTGAAATGTCGAGCCCAAACATAAGGGTTTCTAATGTCGAAACTCAATCATATGTAATATCTTTTCACAACATCAGTATTGACGACCGTTTCTGTCACTTTGCCTTCTATATCTTCTAAGTAAAGAGCACCATTGGGTAATACCCTTTTAACAACGAATGGTCCTCTCCAATTTGGAGAAAATTTGCCTTTGGTTTCGGCATGATGTGGCAAAATGCGTCTCAACACTAATTGACCCTCTTTAAAATGTCTAGGACGCATCTTTTTGTTATATGCCCGTGCCATTCTTTTCTGATATAATTGTCCATGACATACTGATGTCAGACGCTTCTCATCAAACAAACTTAATTGCTCTAACCGATTTTTGATCCACTCATCATCATCAATTTCATCCTCCACAACAATTCGTAAAGATGGGATTTCAATCTCTGCAGGTATAATTGCCTCAGTCCCGTATACCAGTGAATATGGGGTAGCGCCCACTGACGTACGGACTGTAGTGCGATAACCCAACAAAGCAAAAAGGCAAATTTTCATGCCATTGTCGAGAACTTTGCACCATCTTACGAAGTATCTTTTTTATATTTTTGTTAGCAGCTTCTACAGCCCCGTTTGCCTGATACGGAGCGAATTTTGATTCTCAATCTTAAATTGGTAGCATACCTCTTGCATTAAGTGGCTGTTGAGATTTGCGGCGTTGTCATTTATAATCACCTTTGGAATACAAAACCGACAGATGATGTTGAAATGGATGAAATCCACCACGATCTTTTTGGTCACTGACTTGAAAGTTACTGCTTCCACCCACTTTGTAAAATAATCAATGGCCACCAAGATGAACCTGTGACCATTCGATGCTTTTGGTTCTATCTGTCATATCATTTCTATTCCCCATGCCACGAAAGGCCATGGAGCAGACATTGCATGCAACTCAGAAGAGGGAAAATGTATCAAATCACCATGTATTTGACATTCATGACATTTACGAGCAAATCGTATGGAATCCCGCTCCATGGTGAGCCAATAATATCCTGCTCGAAGTATCTTCTTGGCTAGAACATATCCATTCATATGAGGTCCACAAACTCCTGAGTGTACTTCAATCATGATTGTGGAAGCCTCTTGAGCATTTACACACCTTAGAAGACCTAAATCGGGTGTTTTCTTGTACAGTATGCCTCCGCTTAAGAAAAAACCCCTGGCTAGTCGTCGAATAGTCCTTTTTTGATTACTAGTCACATCTAACGGACATTTTCCAGACTGAAGATATGTTTTAATATCATGAAACCAAGGCTTACCATCAAATTCCTCCTCAATCATGTTGCAATAAGCATGTGGATCATGAATTTGTATGTATAAAGGGTCGATATGGGCGTCATCAGGGTGTTGGAGCATCGAAGATAAAGTGGCCAATGCATCTGCAATTTCATTGTGCATTCTGGGAATGTGTCTAAACTTTATCGACACGAATCGTTGACAAAGACCTTATAAACAATGTTGATATGGTATGAGCTTTGGGTATCGAGTTTCCCATTCTCCTTGAATTTGATGAACTAGTAAGCATGAGTCTCCTAACACAAACAATTCTTGAATGCCCATGTCAACACCTAACCCCAGACCCAAAATGCACGCTTCATACTCAAACATATTATCAGTACAATAGAATCTAAGTTGGGCTGATATAGGGTAATATTCCCCTGATTCAGACATAAGAACATCTCCTATTCCAACTCTTTTTCTGTTAGAGGCACCATCAAAAAATAACCTCCAACCTTGATCGTTATCGTGAATAACTTCATCGATACAAGATATCTATTCATCTGTAAAATAGGTTTTAAGTGGTTCATATTATTCATCAATAGGGTTCTCTGCCAAATGATCTGCCAATTCTTGAGCTTTCATTGCGGTCCGCGTTATATAGATAATGTCGAACTCTATGAGCAATATTTGCCATTTCGCAAGCCTCCCTATGGGCATAGGCTTTTGAAAAATATATTTCAACGGATCCATACGAGAGATGAGGTAAGTAGTGTAAGATGAAAGATAATGTTTCAACTTCTGTGCTACCCAAGTTAGGGCACAACACATTCTTTCAAGAAGGGTGTACTTCGCTTCGTAAACGGTAAACTTCTTGCTGAGGTAATAAATGGCCCGCTCTTTCTTCCCAGTGTCATCATGCTGATCCAGTACACAACCAAAAGAATTATCTTGTACTGACATATACAATATCAAAGGTCTCCCCGGCTCGGGAGGAACCAACACAGGGGGATTCAATAGGTAGTTCTTAATTCTTTCAAAAGCTTCTCGACATTCTTCGGTCCACTCGACTGCGACATTCTTTTTCAACAACTTATAGGCTCACAAGTTGTTGTGAGTTGAGCAATGAATCTGCTGATGTAGTTTAACCTTCCTAGAAGGCTCATAACCTCAGTTTTGTTCTTTGGAGGTGGCAATTCTTAAATTGCTTTTATTTTTGAAGGATCCAACTCGATACCTCTTCGACTGACTATAAACCCCAAAAGCTTCCCTGATGGTACTCCAAATACACATTTTGCAGGATTAAGCTTGAGATTATATCGGCGGAGCCTTTCGAAGAATCTCCTTAAGTATTTCACATGATTTGACTATTTTTTAGATTTAATGATAACATCATCCACATAAACTTCGATTTCTCTATGCATCATATCATGAAACATGGTTGTCATTGCTCTCATATAAGTTGCCCCTGCATTTTTTAATTTAAAAGGCATAACATGATAACAATATGTACCCCATAGAGTGATAAAAGATGTTTTTTCTGCATCTTCATCATCCATAATAATCTGATGGTAGCCCGCATAACAATCCACAAAAGATGCAACCTCATGTTTAGCACAATTATCCAATAAAATATAGATGTTAGGCAAAGGAAAATCATCTTTCGGACTTGCCTTATTGAAATCACGATAATCAACACACATTCGAACTTTTCCGTCTTTCTCAGGGATGAGTACGATATTGGCTAACCAAGAAGGATATTGAGAGACTTGAATGACTTTGGCCTCAAGTTGTTTTCTGATCTCCTCTTTAATTAATACACTCATGTCAGTTTTGAGTTTTCTCAACTTCTGCTTTATCGGAGGAAAATTAGGATCAATTGACAACTTCTGAACAACCATGTCAGTGCTTAATCAAGGCATGTCATCATAAGATGACGCAAAAACATCTTCATAATCAAACAGGGCCTGGATTATATCGTCCTTTTTGATGTCGAACATGTACACTTATCTTAGTCTCCTTAATAATTTCCTGATCCCCCAAATTTATCGTCTCAGTTTCACTCATGTTTGGATTTGACTTATTTTCAAAATGATTGAAATCCCTCCTTACTTCTTCAAATACTCTGTCTTCATCATATTCAATTTCTTGACTTATTATTTCAATATTAGGTCGAAGATTAGATTGGATATTAAGATCTGGCAAAAAATTCTGCATGCATGTCATATCACTAGAATCGGCATAGAAAGAACTGTATAGAAGAAAATGAACAAACATATTAGGCTGAAATAAAGATGCAATTATATCCTATTGAAAAGGGAAATAGAATGTTTGAAATAAAACGACAAGAAAAAATCTGAATTACAATCCTTGAATGAATCGGACGACAAAAGAAAAACAAGACAGACTACCAAGACTCGTCTTTAACGGGGAGAGGGGTGGCCTCCCAATTATTTAGATTGACATCAGGACTAATGAATTGCACATCTCTGTCGCTAGTGCCTTCTCCGAGTTCCACCATATCAACCTCGACAAATAAATCTTGAAAATAGTTGATCATTTCTTCGCTAACTTTTATCGCTGGCTCTAGAAAAGATGATTGATAAGATTTTATTGTCCGGGCTTTGATGAAAGATTTGTAGATTGGTTGTATAGGCTTGGTAAGTGACCATACATCTCTCTTATGCTTCTTTGCCTTCACTTGGTCCTCGACTCTAGGCTGGTAGCCTAATCCAAAAGTACCGATGCTCTTTCGTAGACTCACTGGATAAGCTCTCCCTTGCAAGCAGATTCCTAAGCCTTTACCCGGCTCAAACCCATGTTTCAGCAATTCATTCACCACCATTACAAACGTGATGGTCATATTTGGTTTTGAAATGACACTCCCTTCAGGGGCATGCTCAATAACCACTACCTCAAAAGCTTGATAAACCAGTGCGTAATTCTCATTATCCGCCTTAATAAAAGGGGAGGAAGAGTCTTTGTAGATTGACGAATCCCCCTCACCATGAACAATCACCTCTTGTCGGTCGTATTCAAACTTAATCATTTGATGCAACGTTCAGGGGACTGCTCCAGCCCTATGCACCCATGGCCTCCCCAACAATAGATTGTAGGACGCGTTGATATCCAACACTTGAAAATTCACAGCGAAATCCACAAACCCTATGGTTAGTATGAGCTCTATCTTACCAATGACATCAGTTTTTGACCCATCAAAAGCTCTAACACATACATTGTTGGGTCGGACCCTTTCAGCACTAACATTCAATTTCTGTAGAGTTGATAAAGGGCAAATATTTGCTCTAGATCCTCCATCAATTAGAACTCGAGTGACATATGAAAGCTCACACTTTACAGTGATATGTAGGCTTTGGTTATGTCCTGTACCTTCTTTGCGTAGTTCATCATCTGAAAAGGTGATGCGGTTTACCTCAAATATTTTCCCAGCAATCTTCTCTAACTGACTCACTATAACTTTACTAGGAACATGTGCTTCATTCAGAATTTTCATTACAGCCTTACGATGTTCATCAGAATGTATTAGCAAAGACAACAACAAGATTTGGGCTGGAGTTTTTCTTAATTGTTCCACCACGGAGTAGTCTGATAGTTTCATCTTCCTTAGGAATTCCTCTGCCTCTCCTTCAGTGACCGGACTCTTTATTTGTATTTGGTCATTTTTAGTTTTCCTTAATTCCATCGGGACATAACATCTTCCTGAACGGGTTATTCCTCCCACTTTATCTATTTCTTCATCAATTTGTTTTCCCTTGTATGTCACGACAGTAGGATCATAATTCCAGGGAACAGCTTTGGGGTTAGTCATTGGGAGTTGGGATACTGACCTGATAATCACAGGAGGAATATGGGCTCCTCGCACGATCAAGATAGGCTTTTTTGGACCTTTTGGAACAAACGATTTTGCCTTACTCGGGATTGCCCAAACATCTTCAAGGGCTCCTTTCACAGTTAAGATGGGTGTGTTTGATGGACTCAACTTTTCTAACACATTTTCCGCCCCTAAAGGCATCATTTTTGTTAAATCAACAACATTTGCTGACTTCTCAATGCCAGTTCCCACCCTAAGGATTGGCTTATACGGAGATGCAAACTCTTCATGACCCTTCATCATTTCCAGCATGTTTATTTTAGTATGCCTCGGCAATGGATTTTGATTGATGTTGGGTCCACTCAGACTTTCAACTATAATTCGATTAGAATCAATCAAATCCTGAATGACCCTTTTCAAATACCAATATCTCTCTATGTTATGCCCTGGGGCATTAGAATAATATGCGCAATGTTGAGAATAATCCAAATTTCTCGGGGAGGATTCTACATCTTTCTCTCAATAGGACTCAAAACATTCAACGTCCTTAATTTTTGGAACAAGCTAGCATACGTCTCCCTAATAAGAGTGAACTCATCTTTAACGCCATTTCCCTTTTTGTATTGTGGTCTAGGACGGAAAGGAATTCTAGCAGTATTTTGATGAACTTGTGGGGGTGGTGGATGATTTTGTGGAGTTGGTGCACGCCATTGTGGATAAGAAGGGGGTGCAATTGGTTGTGCATTAAAAACATGATATGGAGTGTATGGGACAAAATATTGTGGAGCTTGGGAAGGAAAATAATGTTGTGGGGAATTACCTAGAACATGAGTCCTAGGCGCTGATACAATAGTGGCCACATCCTCCCTTCTCTTCTTCCCTCAATATTTCCAGAACCATTTTGAAGCACTTGTGTTGTGGCTTTTAAGGCAGCTTGACTTACAATCTTTCCAGACTTGATGCCATTTCCCACCATTTCCCATACCTTAATAACTTCAGCGAATGTCTTCCTTACGGCAGAAAGCAAATAGTGAAAGTAATCAGGTTCTTGCGCCTGGAGAAAACGCCAATCATCTCTGACTCATTCATAGGTGGTTTAACCCTAGCAGCTTGTTCCCTCCATCTGATAGCATATTCACGAAAATTTTCCGTGGTCTTTTTTCTCATGTTGGCTAATGAGGAGCGATCTGGAACAATGTCAATATTATATTGGAATTGTTGTACAAAACATTAAGCCAAATCATCCCATGTGTGCCAGTTCGTGATATCCTGATCTATGAACCATTCAGATGCAATCCCTACTAAGCTTTCCCCAAAATAGGCCATAAGTAACTCTTCTTTTCCCTCT